AAAATGGAACCGAAATCCAAAATGTTTAAATTTTGGTACGCTGGAACTATTGTAGATAAGTACGATTATGTTAGAAAAACTCACCATCTTAGCGTCCCTTGGTGGGATTTTGTATGGGAGCGAGCTGTCTACGAATAGATTTAGTGTCAACGATAAAAATTTAAATCTTGATTTAAAAATCGAGATGAATGTCTACGGGATTGATAAAAAATATCGTTGTGATCAGAAAACGAAGCTCTATCAGATGATGTATAAAAATCGGCATATTTTTCGAAGTTTAACAGCCCAATTAAGCTTTGGTGTTTGGTGTAAGGCTTTGTCACACTATTGTAAACCATATGATTTAGACTCTTTTAAAAAATTGTAGCACGAAAACGTCACTTCTGATCAAAATGACGTCTGAGACAATTGTACAGAAACATAATGTCTTTCTGAAAAAAAAAATACATGGTATTTTTTTAAAGCAATTTTCTAAATACTACTAAAGTTTGCATTTTGTATGAGCTTTATTTAAAAAAATAAATTGTAAATTTTGAAGATATACTTTATGAGAAATTTTTTTCATACTTCATTTTGATCAGAAGTCACGTTTAAGTGCTACAATTTGTTGAAAAATGACCAAAGACGCCATTAAAAAAAAAAATCAAGATGTAAAATGGCCGATTTTTTGCAAACACATTATAACACATTATTATGCAAAGTTTCATGCAAATCGGAGAAGGTCGAGTCTTAAATTATTATTTTTTATCCTATTTGGTCGGGAACTGGTTACATGTTAAATCAATATTGTCATGGTGTTCGTAGATATTAGAATAAAAGTCAATCCAAAGCATTCATAACCGGTAAATTATTTAGGTTTAAAATGGGAAAACCGAGAAAATTCGGAAATTCTACGATCAAAATTTATTGGCCACTCGGAATGATATTAACCTAGCCCAATTTTATTTATCATTATGAGTTTTAGCCCAGAATGAATGACAAATAAACAAAATGCAGCCTAAAACATCTTTATCGGACAAATATGCAGCCATTTTAAAAAGCAAGTTTAGAAAGGTTGGGCTTTAACATCTCAATAAAATTGAAATTTGGCTCGATCACTTTGATTTTGCTTATGATATTCCATACTTAGATTATCCCTCCCCTTGGCTAGTTTTTTAACCTGGACGTTGGTGGGCGGGCCTAATCTTATGCTTCATAGTGGAGCGTTGGGGACGGTTGGTTTAGGTCCGGCATCATTGGTTCATGCCGTGACAGAATAGCGTCATGAGCATGCGATGAGGATTATTGAGCTTCCCCTCTCTGATGAACCATTGCATAAGAGAACCAAAGTTCTAGCCTGAAGTGATAGTATCACACTTGTTACTCCTTTATTTGAAAGCCGCGTTGTAGTACGCTTACGTATAGGCACTGACATTGGGTGCGATACTGGCGAGTTTTGCCGCAAATCACTCTTAAAGGGTGATACGGTCAAAATTTGGTCAAGGGAAAACGCGTGTAAATCGGTGAAATCGTTTATTTAAAAAATCAAATTAAATTTCTTTTTCAAGTTCAATTAGTATAAAATTCAGGAAAAATATTCAGTTAGGCTTCCGCTTTTCCAAATCCGAATTGCCGGGCCTTACGCTTGACCCCTGCCATCAGATTTTGTACAGCCACCTTGTCCACCTTCTTCGCCGCAGAAAGCCAGTTTGCCTTGAACTGCTGCTCGCCCTTAGCAGTTTTTTTGGTCTTCTTTAGGTTCCGCTTGACAATAGCCCAGTATTTCTCAATTGGTCGGAGCTCTGGCGTGTTGGGAGGGTTCATGTCCTTGGGAACCACCTGCACGTTGTTGGCGGCGTACCACTCCATGGCCTTTTTACCGTAATGGCAAGATGCCAAATCCGGCCAAAACAGTACGGAACAACCGTGTTTCTTCAGGAAAGGCAGCAGACGTTTATTCAAACACTCTTTCACGTAAATTTCTTGGTTGACAGTCCCGGAAGCTATGAAAATGCTGCTTTTCAAGCCACAGGTACAGATGGCTTGCCAAACCAGATATTTCTTTGCGAACTTTGACAGTTTCATGTGCTTGAAAACATCTGCTACCTTTCCCCTGTCTCCTGTCCCGGAAGCTGCTTGTAGTCGGCTTTGACGTATGTAGGTTTCGTCGTCCATTACCACGCAGTCAAACTTCGTCAGCATCGTCGTGTACAGCCTCCGGGATCGCGCTTTGGCCGTCGTATTTTGTTTATCATCGCGATTTGGAGTCACTACCTTCTTGTAAGTCGATAGTCCGGCTCGTTTTTTGGCTCGATGCACGGTTGTAGACGATACACCCAGCTTATTTGCGGCATCTCGGAGAGAGAGGTTAGGGTTTCGCTTGAAACTACCGGCAACTCTCGTTGTCGTCTCAGCGGCTTCCGGTTTTCGATTTCCCCCCGATCCAGACTTCCTGGCTGTCGACAAACGTTGCCCAAACACTTTAATTACATTTGTAACGGTTGATTTGGCAACTTTTAGCTATTTTGCCAACTTTGCGTGCGAGTAGCTCGGATTTTCGCGATGCGCGAGCAAAATTTTGATACGCTGCTCTTCTTGCTTGGACGGCATTTTGACAACTGAAGAGTGAATTCCAAAATCAAAATAGGAGCAACATTCTACACACACACACCTTCAAAATGAGGGGTGTTCAGGTTTTTTAAATGCAAAATTGAAAGAAATACGTCAAGTTGATATTGACCAAATTTTGACCGTATCACCCTTTATTTTATTTATTTTTACGCATATAGATTTATTTGGGTTTGCAAGGGAATTGTACTATTGAAATATTTCAGAAAGTGCCCAACAGTGCTCCTTCTACTTGCGTGACAAGCTTTCGTTGTTGTTTTCATTGAGGTATTACTCAGGGAACAATGTTAAACACCATTTTTGTACATGGTATTGCAACTAATCTTATATGTGCTTCATTTTGATTTGGGATAAGTGTTTGAACTATGGCTCGGGTTTTCCACTGTGGTGTGCTTCTATTGTGACATAACCATACGTATTTCTGTGGTGCGACATACTGGAAACGTGTTAGCGTAGTTGAAGCATATACCCTATGTAATTTAAAAATCAGCTAGGAAACTAACTTCAAAGTGAAGCCTTTTAGTCACTTGAAGGTGTCACCTGGGACGAACTAATATATATTAAATAAAAATAAAAGTCGAAAACAACTTGAAACACGTTAAATTTTAGCAGGAACTTAATAAAGCATGGTAGGTAGATTAGAGATTTCAATTATTTATTAAATTAGACTAGAGATATCATAATCATTAAACGAACTTAAATAAGAAAATTTAGACAGCCTAGTAGCATTAAGTGGATTAACAGAAGAGTTAGGATGCGGAGGGTCCGCTTACGGAGGCAACTAGCCTTTAAAGCAACTGGCAACTAGCCTTTTCATGTATTGTCTGTTTATTTTGATTATTGCTTTAAAATATCAATTTGGTATATATGTGAAGGGATGAATCAATTATTTTTTTTTAATTTTCTCTATTTAGGAGATTTTTAGCCGCAGGCTAGTTCATCTCCTAAAAGGATGAATCAATGGGAGATGGATTTTCGGTTTCTTTACATTTAGCATCACTATGTGTCATTTCCTCAAAACCCTCCAATAACCGGCCTCTTCAATCCCTTCCTTTTCCCATGGCGTTCAAGTGGTCCGCATAGACTATTCAGCCATTACCCGTCCTTTATCCTCGGCTTTGGATTGACTTGCGCTCGCATTGCCCCACCAAACGCTGCAAAATGAAAATGAAATATTCCATACTTAGATTATCCAACTGTCTCCAGTAAGTTCCATGAACTGGAAGTTGTCCTCGTTTAGATGTAAACAGATCTTTGTTATCAAAAGCACATACATTATTAAGATTACATCCTAATCCTTCGGCGTTGAAACTTTCCAAACAATCCTCAATTTTATCTCCTCAATCGTCATCACACCTACACCTAAAAGATACAGTTCTATCTCCATTCCCATTCCATCCTTGAAGACCGCTCCAAGCGCTGTACGAAACCCGTGCCGGACAGTAGGTACTGAGTGTCAGAGTGCCTCTTCCCTCGGGATATGAACATCAAAATCCAATTACCATATCGAGACCGTTGTCGTCCGTCCGGACGGAGCCACAGCCACCCACGCACAGCACCGTGTCTCCTCTCACACTTTGTTTTGATCGCTGCTACGGAGGTGGTTTCCTCCATCTTCAGAATGGTGAGGTACTTTCCGAGTTTGTTTGTATGGAAAATTTCCCAACCCAACAACTTTTAACCAAACGATGAAGATGAAAGGCCCATGAGAAAGCATCCGCCGCCGCCGCTGCGGAAGAGGCGCAGTTAGCAGCAGAAGTTCGTAGCTCTCTGCGCGTGGGTAATTCCCGTTCTTCAAATTCTAAGCACAAGAACGAACCTTCAAAAGAAAAGCATACAAACTTCCTAATTCAATTCAATACGCTTTTGGTTCGCTTCGGCTGCAACCCATGTTGGATTGCTATAGAAGGTACAATCAATAAACGATAAAAACGTAGCTCTCGTCCAGGTTTCAATGGGGAACCAGTTTCTTTCACTTTGACCTCTTGTGAACGAGCGAACGAACGAACGAACGAACGAACGAAAGCATATTACAGCATCCAATCCTATACGAGATGAAGATGACGTAGTACGTTGCTGCATTGAGGCGAGAACCCGTTTTCCTTTGGAAGACTGGATGTGAGTGGGTGGGTGGCTGGGAAGAGGTCAAAGCTTTCGATTCGTGCAGCGATGGGCAACTTCGGCAACGGAGGGGAAATTACGCGGGCACGAAAGCGAACCATCGGGTTTGCTTCGGCTCTGCGAGCTTCTCGATTGTGCTCGATTTCGCTTCACACGCTTCTTCGTTCGGGTGCCGTTCGGTTCGTGTGCCGTGGTGTGGGGTTACCGAATATCGACCGACCGTCGAAGGCTGGTGGCAGCGTCGCTGGTACGATTAGTGTGCAATCCGGTGCGCTATCAGTCGGTACGGTTGTCTTACAACTTTTGCACTACGGGTTTTGTAGAACAAAATTGCGCGGTTCGTTCGGTTGGCGAGTGCAAAGAGATTTCGCTCCAGTGAGGCGGAGGTGTGTGGGATTTTATCAGTGCTTCACCAGGAGGAAGACAACGAAGGTTTTAACCATCCATGTGCAGTGCCCGACTTTTTGGCAAGGATAATGGAATTTTGATTACCGAAAGTGGAGCAGAGTGAAATGGCAAGGATCTCCACCATGGCAAGGATAATTTAAAACCGAGTGAAACCAGAGTCGCAGCATAGTGATAGTGCTTCCGCCTTAGTGATAGTGCGGAGAAGCTTCCGAGATACCAAAGAGAAGATGCGGAAGATGTTGAGTGCGTGTGTGATGCGAAACGAAGAGGCCAGGAATTTGGCCGGAGTTGCTTCCGTGTTATCTTGATTGCTGTGCAAATAAAGTGTAATTTAGATAACTTAAGAATTGTGGTCTTCTGCCGTACAGTTTCCAAGAATAAACGATCGTTAAAAAAAATTCCCCATACGGGAGAGCTGAAGCAGCTGATTGACTTACCCGTCGACTAACGCGAAGAAGACGAAGACGAAATGACGATGCTAGCGGTGAAGAATTTCTTTCTCCCGGAGAGGAAGGCCCCACCGGAGGCGGCCAAGTTTTCCCGCATGCCGGAGGCATTCCTACGCTCGATTCGGCGCCGCTCGCTGCGGATCAAGCGGCCGAAAACCGTGATTGTGGAGCGCGAGAAGCGGAAATCGGGTAATTAGACTCCCTCCAATTCATTTCTGTTCTAGTATAGGACCAATCGGAGATGGGTGGGGGCGCCTCACAGTGCTATCAATCCGCTTGACCTACATTGCATCAAGGTCCATTTGGCTCGCTAATAGATCCGTCCCTAGAGGGGGTTCGCCACTCGCGTGCGACTTTGCGCTCTGACGTAATGGCAAACCTCGCCAACATGTGTGACGGACAGCGAGCTTCACTCCCTAATGGTAGCTTGATACAAATTAATCACCAGGAGCGAGACAGAATGAGTGAGGGTGAACCGATGACGACGTCATCATCAAAATGCGTTCACAGCATCAGTGTTCCTGCGAGGAATGTTGCGAAATTAACGAGATCATGTGGTTGACAGATGCCTTCGTCGCATCATCCGCGGGTCGTCGGGTGGAATTTAAATATTCATCTCCGCTATCATCGGGCCGGAAATGCGCCATTTGAGCTGACGGACGTCTACCCGTGTTTGTGTTTGGGGTTCTGATATGGGAAAAGTTGTTTGCTCGGAATGGACCTTATCTTAATTGTTGTTCTTAACAGTGCTTTCGATTAGGTAGACGAACCCGGGGTACCTGCCTAAAGCAATTTAGCGGCGAAGTTTGACATTATCTTTATTGGGCTCATGTTCTATATGGCGAGCAAAGTTTTGTTTTCTTGCACTGTTGGCTGATGGTGACGATATCTCGAACATGGATTGGGGATTATTCGGTTCGGGGCGGCGGAATCAACTTCGTGGCTAGATAGAGCCGGTTAGTGTGCTGTGTGACAATCTGTGTATGATAACACACTTACTCTCTTATCAGGCCCAGCAACTTTGCAAAACATATCAATTGTCTGTCCGCTTGGCTTGGTTCGCATATCTGGGCTATTTTTGCGCTTGGCAATTGTTTACACATACTGTGCTCTGTAACCCGCCTGCCGGTGTTTTGTGGTTCTCAAGCGAATAAGGTTGGTGATACCAATGTGACTGGTTGACTGCATTTTGTGGTGTAAATTTTGGATTGAAGCTCACTCAAAATTCTTCGTAGCATTGGAATATAAATTATTCTCCATATTTTGATAAAAATATACATGGAATTGGAGAATTCTAATGAAATGCATCTTTAAATTTCAAATTTATTGGAAAAACTTTACACGTAGAAAATCCTTTGAGTCTTCTTTGGAGCAAGATGTAAATTGTTCCAAGCAAGTTACCCCGCGCGAAGATTCAGTAACTGACAGCCGTAGCACGAAACAGACGAGAAACTGAAGGAATGTGAAAAAATGTTCTCTGTCGAATGCAAATGCGATGCAATGGGTAAAAGTTGAACGTTGAAGATCAAGAATCAACGAGAGAGTCGTTCATGAATCATAGAAATAATCAGGATTAATTTTCGCAGTGATAGCTTATTGCCATGGTACTTTCACGTTTATCTGCCAAAATGTAACTTTTAATGTTATGCTTAAAGTTAGATAGCAAATGGTTGGTTCTCTTTACCAAACGCTGACTCATCTGCTGCTAACAAATGGAAAAAATTCACTGAACCACTATACTCAGAATCAGTCCTGGCACGCTCGGTGGTCGGTTCTGCTTTCAACGAAATACAGTGTGAGTCAATTGACTTTGATTTTATTAAAATGTTGATAACATTTGTTATTCACCCAGTTCATACAACCCAATTATTTCATGAAGTCTAGTAATAATGTTCTGTAACTAGTTTTTTAGAATAATCAAGTAATTATGTGATTATAGCTGTTAATTTTATTGGATGTCCAGTTTTATTAGATTTCTCATATTCTTGAAAGATTGCTGGAAATAAAGACCTGACGAAATTTTATCGAAGTAATCCAAATTTGAAAACATCTAGATAAAACAGTGAAATAATAATAGTTTTGATTTGATATAAATGCGCCTCAGAACAACGAGTCCTAACTCGAATTAGAATAGGACATACCCGGCTTACCCATTCACATTTGATGAACCACTCCCCCCACCTGTATGTAGGTTCTGCGGAGTACAGATAACAGTTCACCATATACTAGTGGAATGCAGAGGATATGCACAAACTAGGAAATCTTGCGGAATCAACGGATCACTATGCATGATACTAGCTAGCAATATTGAAATTTCTAAGGGATAGTAACTTGTTCAATGAAATCTGATCAGTTAGAGTAGTCTATTATAGTATTAATTATCCTGACACGAATGCCACACAATAATGTGGTAAAGTGTCATAAATAAATAATAATAATAATAATAAATGTATGTCTAAAGTATAACTGATAAATTTTCGCTCGCGAATTTAAAAAAATCAAATGATTTGAAGTTTCTTACATAGAAGACATAGAAAATTGCAGTCAAATAGTCTCCAGAACACTCTATGACTCTTTTCCTTTGAATTGTATTGCGTGTCTCTTCAAAAGCCTCACCCTTTTCAATTCGATTTGATGTAATAATGATGAGAATAATTCCAAAGGAATTCTTAAACGTATTCCAAATCAATTCCGAGGCGAGTTTCAGAGGAATTTCAAGGACATTTTCAACACAGGGTGTTCATGTTTTCCGTACAGAGTACCAATGCTCCACACCTGAACCCTACCTATCGACCTATCTACTCATGGACCAGGGTCAGTGTCTACTATCTTGAAAACCTGGAAAACCGGGAATACTCAGGGAATTTGGTTTTACCAGAACAAACAGGAATTCCTAGAGGAATTTTGAGTATCTCGGATCAAGTACCAAGCAATACTTAATAATACGAATATAATATATTAAAGTTTTCCAATGAATTTCAAAGTATGTTGTAATACAACCAACTTTATCTTCTTAATTATTCGCTTTTACTCATTGAACATAATAATTCTATAGTGGATTTACCTTCAGTAACAGCATACATTCTGAATCTTAAATTGATTTTTTTTTATCTAAGACATAGTTAAAAAAAAACTTTAAAATTGTTTTAAAACCCTGAACCTAAAAAAAATCAGACTTGGAGAAATGTTCAAGAATCTGGAACGAAAGTAAATATTAAAGATGTCGGACATTGACTATTTTCAAAGAACCCATATTTTTTTAATAAGGACTTGCAAAAGTCCCACAGCTTGTATACTTTAAAGAATGAATTTGATGAGGATTTCCAAGGAACTCAAAGGGATAAGGGAATTTAGAGGAGAATTCCAAGTGAAGAATTGTTAGGAAACTTGAAGCGATATTTAAGGATTACTTTCAAGTTAGCTTTGTTGAACTCCAGATGCCAGGTAGGACAACTTTAAGGTAGTTGTGAGTAGAATCATAAGAAAATCTTGAACCCAACAGAGTTCTGGGATGGATTCCAAGGTAATTCCAAATAGATTTCCAAGAGAGTTCTGACTAAAATAGCAAATTAATTTTGAGGAGAATTCCAAGGTTCTTGTGAGTAGAATTCGAAGGGAAGAAGGAGAATCCAATAAGAATTATGAAATGTATTCGATAAAAATTCGGAGGATTATTCAAGGAATTTTCCATGGAAATTTTGTGGCAAAGTTTCCCTGGACCTAATAAAATCAGACGTGGAGAAATGTCCAAGAATCTGAAACGAAAAGAAATATTCAGGATGTCGGGCACTGAATATTTTCAAAGAACCCATATTTTTTTATAAGGGCTTGCAACAGTTGCAGTCGCTTGCAAGTTTATGGACTTTTATGGATGAATTTTATGAGGATTCAAAGGAACTCAAAGGGAATTTAGAGGAGAATTCCAAGTGAAGAATTGCTAGGGAAACCCGAATCGATATTTGAAGATTCCTTTCAAGTTAGCTTTGTTGACCTCCAGATTACAGGTAGGGGACCTTCAAGGTAGTTGTGAGTAGAATCTCAAGAGAATCATGAAGCCAACAGAATTCTGGGATGGATTCCAAGGTGATTCCAAAATGTTGAGGATAATTCCATGACTCTCGTGTGTAAAATTCCAAGAGAAGGAGGAGAATCCAATAAGAATTTTAAAAATAATTCGATGAAAAGTCGGAGGATTATTTAAAAGGAACACACTAACCCAGTCAGTCATTTTTACCGAGTTTTTGAATTGCGGAACTGTTCGGTAAAAATTAAAAAATCTGTGAAAAATCCAAAGTTGAGAAAATGTGTTACAAAAATTTACAGACCTACTTCTGTTAATCCCGTTCAAGCAAGAAAAATAAAATTTGTCGATTATATCGAATCTTTACGAATAACGGTCATTTGAATTTTAACCGAGTTTTTCAGTAATTCAAAAACCCAGTAAAAAACTACTGACTCCTGTAAAAAATCTAAGTGAGCTCTACGGAAAGTTTCAAGGAATTTTCCATGGAAATTTTGAGGTAAAGTTTACAAGAATACTCAGAAGAATTTTTAGGTTATTCTTGTAACATTTTTTGGAGAACTCAAAGAAGAGTTTCTTAAGAATTCTGAATTTCATGAAATTTACGGGACTACTCCAAGAGAATTCTGTGTGGAGTTTAGAGGAAATCCTGAAAATAATTCCGTGGGAATTTTAGGGGAATAATTAATGAATACTGAAGAGCGAACCCAGTTATGAATTTTAAGAGAATTTCAGAGTGAAGTAAAGAGCCTTCCATAAAGGATTTCTAGAGTCTTGTGGAGCAAATTGTAAGGGACTTTTATTTTTTTAGAATACCAAATAATATTCAAAACGTTAAGATTTTGCAAATTGCTGTTGTCTTAGACTTAGTAATAAAGCTTTAATTGACTCCTGGAACTAAATTTCTCTTCGTTTGAAATATTACCAGCTCATTTTGCACTGCACTATGCAATGTATACGCCCTTGGTTATTCATGTTCGGTATCAACATAAAATCTTACCATAATCAAATTAGTTACACCTAGAAATGCATAATACATGAGTTGATTTGTAGTTGTAAAAAGACGACCCTGAAAATAGCAGCATTTGTGTTAAAAATTAAATTATTTAAAATTCGGAGATATTAGTAATTAATATATTTCTGAATTCAAATTCAGAATTCCGATTCA